ACACACACACACACACACACACACACACACACACTTTATGACTGGTTTTTGGGGTTAAATTTCTCACACTATGCACAAATAAATATGTTAATGCATTTCATTTCAAATTATGTAAATACAGACCCAAGCTGTAGAATAAGCTAACCCTAACTCCTAAAAATGTAACTGATTACATTAAAAATGTCTAAGATCAACGTTTCCACTGTTAAAATGCACAGTAGTATAATATGATACCTGAAGTGCTGCCCAGAGACAGAGTGCAGCTCCTCGGCCACAGCACAGTAAACACTGGTCTGGGCTCCTTCTCTTGGAGTTTTCAGGAACATGGAGAAGACCATGAACAATATGGTCATGATGGTGGAGTGTCTGGTCAGGTCTGAGTTCACCGTCCCCGGGTGGACAGAGTTCACCGTCACGTTGGTTCCTGCCAGACAGAACCAACTGTTACCATTTARTCCTGGACATTAGAGCTGACTCTGCTGCTCCTCTGTTTGTGGAGAACACCATCTGTGTGGCTGTACCTTTGAGCCTGCGYGCTAGCTCCCTGGTAAACAGCACGTTAGCTAGTTTACTCTGGCAGTACGCCAGTCCGCTGTTGTAGCTGCCCTGGCTGTGYAGGTCATGGAAACGAATCCAGCCGAAGTTGTGCGCCAGAGAGGAGACCACGACGATGCGAGCTGGAGCGCTGCGCTTCAGCAGCCCAATCAGGAGGTACGTCAACAGGAAGTGACCTAGAGGAAGTAAGACATACGGTCGTTTTTTTTTTTTTACTGTTTTGGTATTAATGAACTGAGGAAACCTAACTTCCATCATGACTGAACAACAAGTTTGACATCAAAAATGTATAAAACAACAAAAACATGTTCAAACTCTAAAACTCAAAGAATAAAAGCACAACTTCCATTTTTAAACTTTTGGATTCCTTACAGGAATGCATTTCACCTGCCAGACATTTGGATCGAAATCATGTCATGATGAGAAAATATGAAGTTGGAGCCATTTTGTCCCAACTTTAACAATAACATGTCATATAGTCAGAAGTCACACACAGAGTGTGTGTTGGAGACAACTCAACAACTTCCACACCGAATCTTAGCTCCGTATCTGTACAACTGCTGCATTTAGAGCCATTATTTCCACTCCAATACAATCCAATATTTAGTGATTCATGAGGTATTTTGTTAACAGACAACACACACACACACACACACACACACACACA